AGAATTCCTTAATCCTTGGAGTTCCAAAAATAACATAAAATACAACATGGCAATTCAAACAACACAAATTATCATACAACATATAACATACATATAACATATAAGACAATGTTACAAGGTAAATAATAAAGAATTGTCTTACAGTCAAGACGTAATACAATTGTATAGTACAAATAATAACTTTACAGAGAAAGAATAAAGAATGAAGTGTTCGTTGTGCTCTTTTTTTTTTCTAAGCTTCTTTATATATGACCAACAAGAGACATAATCGTTGCAAATCCTTGAATCTTACTTGTTGACTTGCTTCTTCGTGCTTCCTTACAGGAAGATTTGTCTATTGGTGCATTTAATGTGTTTCACCAAATGATCATTTTTTATCTAATAAATGATATTGCTTATAAACTTTAGGGTACAAAATGTAAGTGACTTTAGTGTGTATTAGTCACAAACAACTTTTGGCTGACTTTGTGTACTTCAAGGTGTCCACTCGTCATTTTTCTAAAGAAAACAAATTTCGTCCTTTTATATTTGTTACATATACCAAAAAAGCTTTTATTCATTCAATTTGTTATGGTATAAGTTGAAAGCCTATGATAAGAACATTAAACATGTTTAATATGATATTTAAAGCATTTGTTTCAGTCTAATGTATATCGACATGCACAAGCTTTAGTTTGTATCATCTTAATATATGAATTATACTATCATCTTAGAGATTGATCATATTATCTTTTAAATATAACTTTTGAGGGGTCATAATAATCTTTTGATCTAATAATCTCTTTTATTATTTTGTTTATAAGGGGAGGAGAGAAATTTTAAAAAATCAATTTAGCTATTTGTATAATTTTAAATTAAAAAATATAGGTAATGATATTTTAGAAATTTGATTGAAATTCTCTAAAAATCTCTCTAGTCCCTTCCAAATCCTCAAATATTCGAAGGAAACTAAAATTAAGTGAAGAAGAGTTTTCCTCCTGTCCAGTCAAAAAGAAAATAGTAGGATGTCGATGGGTGTACACAGTGGAATTTAATGCAGATGGTAAAATTAAGAGATTCAAAACTAGATTAGTGATCAAAGGCTATACACAAGCATATGGAGTAGCCAAAATTAGCATAGTTCGAGTTTTATTATCTCTAGCTGTAAACCTTGATTGACCCTTACAACAATTTGATGTAAAGAAACGCCTTCTTACATGGGAACTATCTGAAGAAGTTTATATGGAACTACCAGAAGGATGTATGATCCGGATACGCATAACAATAAGGTATGCAAGTTGAAGAAGTCATTGTACTTACTAAAGCAATCACCACGAGTGTGGTTTGGTAAATTCACCAAGTCAATGATTGCATTTGGATATAGAACAACCAAGATCATACCCTATTTCTAAAGAAAAAAGAAGGAAAGATTACAATTCTTATTGTTTATGTTGATGACATGGTAGTCATGGGAGATGATCTAGAGGAATGCAAGGTGTTAAAAGAATATTTGGCAAAGGAATTTGAGATGAAGGATCTTAGACCTTTGAAAAACTTTCTTAGAATTGAGGTCTCAAGATCAAAGTGAAGCATTTTTTTGTCTCAACGAAAGTACGCATTGGATTTGTTAAAAGAAATTAAGATGACAACATGTAAACTAACAATTCTCCAATTGAAGGGGGATTGAAGTTGTGTGTTGAAGAAGATCAAACTCCAACTAACAACGGAAAATATCATAAACTTATAGGAAGATTGATGTATCTCGCATACACCAAACCGGATTTAGTTTATGCTTGTAGTGTGATTAGTTGGTTCATGCACAATCCAAGTGAAAAACACATGGATGTTATCATACGAATCTGAAGTTACATAAATGTTGTTCCTGGAAAAGGAATTTTGCTCAAGAAGAACTCCAACTACCGGGATATGATGGTTTATACTAATATAGATTGGGCAAGTGCTCTTGATGATATAAGATCAACCTCTAGATACTTCACATTTGTAGGAGGTAAACTTGTCACATGGAGAAGTAAGAAGCAGAGTGTTGTAGCTAGATCCAGTGTAAAAGTTGAACTTAGAGTAATGGTTCTTGGACTCTGTGAAAGTTTGTGGCTCAAATTACTTCTTCAAGATTTAGGGTATGTACATACATGTCCCATTCAGTTGTATTGTGATAATAAAGTTATGCATGACATTGCCCATAACTCTATCCAACATGATAGTATGAAGCATGTGGAGGTCAATAGATTTTTTATCAAAGAAAAGCTTGATGAGAATATTCTAGAATTGCCCAACATTCGATTTGAAGATAAGTTGACAAATATTCTCACCAAAGTTATGACAAATCAAATTTTTGGGAGATTGTTAGACAAGTTGGGAATGTATGACATTCATCATTTACCAACTTAAGGGGAAGTGTTGAGATGAAGATATTTGATTAGCTAAATTATAGGTTTGCATATTTGTACAAAATATTATATAATTATAACTTCTTTAATTTTATTTGTGATTGATATAAACTCTTTTATTTAGCCCCTGACTTGCAGGAGTAAAATACTATAATAATGGAGTATTCTGTATATCAAAAGTATGAATAAAAAATCATTGAATTTATATTTTGTTTTTGTAACTGTATTTGGTTCTTGTTGGGACAATTGATGTGGTATATTATGTACCTCTTCCTCATTGTGTGACTTTTGATTGTTAGATTGTTGTACACTATCATCTTCTCCTGGTACAACTTCATAAGTTGGTTGCATTAGACTTGGATTTAGCAGGAAGTTCAAATTAGTTTTCGATTATTCTTTCAATTACATGTTCGAATGTTTTTTATTAATAGAATAAAATGAAACAAGTGGAAATCTGCTAGCAAATGAATAAATACGGGTACCATAGAGCGAATAAATACCCACTTATATGGGGATGAGTACGAGATAGGTATAAACTTGCAAAATTTAGTGAATATGGGTGTAGATACAGGTACTATGGTACTCAATTTGTCCCATCTCATAGTTATATAATAATAATAATAATAATAATAATAATAATAATAAATAATAATATAATTACTTAATAATAATTTATTTATTCAAATTGTATTATGAAATTATAACTGAAACCTTATCTAGCATCGTTTTTTCTTCTTGCAATCTTGTTTGTGTGAAATATTATTTCTTTGTTGATTTATTTACTTTATACATTTGTAAAATGCGGGTCGTGGGTGCGGGTATCGGTATACAGATATCTAATGGGTACAAGGATGAGGATTAAAATTACTACTTGTGTGAGTATGAGATTGGGTGCAAATATTGTTTTTAAACGCGAGGCTAGGGATGGGTACTATAGGATAATACCTATTACCATCTCTAAGGATGAGTACAAATAATAGTTATCCGTTAGTTATTCGACCAAATAAATATTCTCCATGTACCGACCTCATACTAGTGTTGGTGCATGTTAAGTAAATACCTACAATCTTTTTTAATATCCATAGATTCTATGCATATTTATGGATATTAATTAAAAGATAAAAAATATTTAAAAATATTTAATAAATAATTTTAAAAGTCAAACTTTAAATTATACAAATATTATATACAATTTTATGGATCAAAATACGTCAATTTAAAAACTAAATTTTAATGTTAAAGTGTTTCAATCCCATAAATTTAAACAAAATTTAATAAATTGAAATAATTCATTTTAACAAGTTCAAAATAAAAGATAAAAAGTTGTAATATTTTAATCTCACAAATTTGAATACAAAAATTTAAATAATATTATATTTTCACTTAGCATGTTATATATTTAAATAAAAAATTAGTAATTGTATTATAACAAACATTTAACGGATACTGCAGGACAAGTACCTTGTTATCTATCCTCCATCCTCGTTTATTAACAAATACATATATATATATATATATATATATATATAGAAGGGTTCAAATGATACTCGTGTAACTTTTACTAAGTGTTACACCGCTTAATAACTTTATATTAAATGTGAATTTTAAAAATCTAACCGTTAGATTGAAAATTCATATCTCTTAGATCATATGTGTCAAATTTTGTTAAAATTGAACAACAACTTGAAGGTAATCAAAATATTCATATTTTAATATATTTTGAAATGTATATATTACGTCAATTTTGTTTTACGAGAATAAAGTATCAAATCATCTTAGATTAATATAATATTTGACATATATGATCTAAGAGATATGAACTTTCAATCTAACGGTTGAATTTTCAAAATCCACATTAATATAAAGTTATTGAACGGTGTAACACTTAGTAAAAGTTACACCGATACCGTTTGAACTTTCCTTTTATATATATATATATATATATATATATATACAAATTTTATCAAAATATATACGTGTGTATTACGTATATAATAAAACGAATTTATTTGTCATCTTTGCCTCCAATGCTCCGTTAAACTTAAAGATGTGTTAACAGTCAGCAAAAATAAAAAAGAAGTTAAAGTTGTGTTAAAATTTGATTAGCAAGCCTGCCCATTATCTATTACCCGTCATAAACAATGTTATGCGAAAATGGGGGATTCTATTTGCTCCCTCCATCTCTTTTTAGAAATTAATTTTCGTAATATAAATATCCGTATTGTAGTTTTTTCTTTTTTTTTTTCATACATTGCAGAACAATAACTTCATTACAAAAATTAATTTTGACAGTTTATCAAAAGATAACTATATTATAAAACCTAGTTTCCATAATGTATAAAATAATTACATTCCAGAAACTAGTTTGGTTATTATTAAGCTTAAAACACTCATTCTGTTTATTAGAATAAATTTACTCCAATAAAAGTCAAAATTGCCCCAATTATACTTATTTTAATAAAGCAATTGTTTTTACAACATAAAAAATACAATTCTAAAAGTGATTAAGTTTATGGTTTGAAAACAAATATTCTTATTAAATCATTTTTAAGATTATGGATTGCCTTGTCACATTTGTAGATAAGTTAATAATTTTTTTTAACGTGGATTCTCTTAATTCTCAAAAACAACTATGTATAAAGACAACAAAGAATTATGAGACGACATTTTACATGGAATTCTACAATTAATTTGGTTAATCTGAAGGCTTTGGGGACAGGCTTGGGGGGCTTGAGAAAATGTTAACTCTAAAAGAACTCTTGTCATGGACAAGGGATTCAGAGACCCAAGAGCCATGAGAAATAACTCCAACAGCTGCATGCCTTTCTCTATAAGACGCCCATGTAACCGCATACAAACCAAAAATGATCAAAGATCCACCTATGATGCTGTTGTCATGAACAAAAAGAATTAAAAACATAAGAAACTTGAAACAATAAAGTAAATTGTTCCAGAATGCTACTACTGGAAACAGAGTACAAACTAGGAAGCATTTACATATACAACATATAATCAAGTGCCTCTTCAATAAGTTCTTACCAAATTAAATCTCATGACATAAATTAAATCATGAAATTTTTTAAAATATTTATATAAAAAAAAACATATTTCAATAACTACAAAAATAAGCTCACTGTAATATACCGGAAAGAGTTTAAGATTCGATAGTCATTTTCATAAGTTTAGGGCTGTTTGGATCTAGAAACACTTATGAGAGAAAAAATGAAATAAGTGATAAGCTAAAACTAGCTTATGCAGCTTATTTGAACTATTTTGGAGAAGTTATGAGAGGTTCTACAACTTATGCATAAGCTAATTTAAACTTATGGGAAAGAATATTTCATTTTTTCTTCTTATTTTTTCCTCCAAGAAGTATTTATGGAGAAATTTATCTAAACAAACCTTAAATAAAGTACATAGAAGCTCTTTCCAAACACCACCTAAATAAATAGCTGATACATCATGATGTTCCATTATATGGTTACATAAATCTACATGCGAAACTATGCATCTTTTCTGGAAAAGAAAACAGTATACTGTGCTGCTTTTTTGAATTAGCATTCACGAGTTAAGTAGGATTATAATCACTTACAGTCAACAATGCATTAAAAAACTAGGAGGTAATAGGACATGTACCTTCCCATGTAAATTGGACTTCCCAGAAAAATTCTGGATAGGAGAGCAGAAGCTCCAGGTTGAAGTGGATTATAAAGGGCGACCATGGCTGGCCCCAAGATCTTGTTGCACCACGTAATGAGTCCATAATTAAGGGCAGATGCAATAAATCCCTGAACAAGCAAGGGAAACATCTGTAAGACTCTGCATGCTAAAAATCCTCCAAAGAAATTGATTAAAAGTTGATATAAATATCTGAGTGTATCAAAGTAAAGTCAAATAAAAATCGCTTAGTTCTAAAAATTCTGGAACAATTAAGAACTGCATTCCTTTCATGACTCAAATAAAAACACCCTCATTCATAGGATTTATTTGGGTAACTTTTCTAAAATCACTTCTAGAAGAGAACAGAGAAAAATGAAATAAGTTTCTCATTAAGCTAAAATTAGCTTATGCATAAGCTAATTTGTAGAAGCATTCTCCTATTAACTTCTCCAAAATCTTATTTTTAACTCATGTATAAGTTAGTTTTAGTTTATGGAGAAACTTCAATTTTTCTTCTTTTTCTCTCCTAGAAGACCTTCTGGAAAAACTTATTCAAACAGGCCCATAACCTCTTTCATTTGTGTCAATTTAAATGTCTTTTGCCCACTCTTGCATGAACAGACAAAATGAAACCATCAAACCATACCAGGGAAATCCCATCATATTCTAATCGTGGTCCAACAAAGAAATAGGTTTTCCTAACAATTCCAATTTCTAAGGCCAAGTCTAGTTGCTTGGGTTACAAAATTGTAGACTATGGTTCATATAAATGGGATATGCAACAGCACTTGGTTGCAAATATTAACCGTGCCAGGGACAAATGCTTTACCAAAGCTTGTTCAGTGATTTTATGCTTGTATTTTTCAATTGTCGGACATGATTTTGGCTAAGCAATCATTTGCAGAACAAAATTCTGGTCATCATTTGGAACACAAACATTTGGTTTCATTTGAATCATAATAGCTTTGCTCTTTGCTTTTTTTCATCTTTAATTAATATCAATAGATTGACAAATGCAAAAAAAAAAAAAAAAGCCAAAAGAATAAAAAAAAATAGATCATATATACAAGACAGCATAAAATAACTTCGTAACTATATTTGAAATTTTGAATAATGCCATCAAATTTGTATGTGTGATGTGTCAAATCAAAGATATAGTGAACTGCATATGACCTAAGGTTTATAATATGAACTCGTAACATACATAAACGCATTTAAACTACAGTAATAAATAGTGAAAGTTAAAAATTATAAAAATAAAAAAAAATGTAATGGGGATTAATAGTAATTTACTTAAATATTGTCACCAAGTGTTAAATGCAACTAGATTTCAGAATATGCTTGAGGAGTATTGTTTGAAGGTCTACTATGAATTCCCAACAAAAACAGGTTCAGCATTGAATTAGAATCAAAAGTTCAGGACTTTGAAGTTGATCAACTGTCAGTGTAAAATTCTTCACATTATCAACAAACATAAATTCCTATATCATTTTAATAACCAAGAGTTATGAGTTTTCATTTATAGAAAAATCCTTTGAGTGTTTCTCAGCATGAAGTGGAATCATATAGGTAAGCGCAGATAGTGTAAAGTATACTCAGTATATCAAAATTAAATCCAACATTAAAAGCAAAAATTGAGGAAATCTTATAAAACTGCATGCAAAAACAACTTTTCATTTTCCTCAATTGTAAAACTTGGCGCACCTAGATAAAAAATAGTAGTAAAAATCACAATATTGACACCTAAATACTCAAGTGAGAATGCTTCCATTAAAAAATAAAACTGACATTTGAAGTGTTCAAGAATAAAACCACACAAATGATGAATAAAGAACATGGACCAAAATGATCAGAGATAACTAATAATGGCTCATGATAGTGAAGGTTGATGACTCACGGCATAAATTACGGCAATTGTTTCAGACTGTGTCAATCTCCAGTCAGTTGACTCGTTTGTTGCAAAGAATGATGTAGTTACCATCAGTGCAGCTCCAAAGAAGTATGAATATGCTGTGACAGATAGGTTTGCAGGATACTTTTTTAATAATGGAGCCTGAAAATATTTCATGATAATAAATTAAACATTAAATATAACATATATTTCAAATATAATAGAACCTAATATCATAAAAAATTTTAAAACTGAAGAAATTTTAAAAGACATAATTTGAAGAGCGGCTTTTCTGCATATCATTATTCACTCTGACAAGAAGCATGACAACTTTGGGGAGTCATCCAATAATGAAAAATGTGTGAATTTACAATATTTTTTAATGGAGATGAAGAAAGGGAAGTTTTCATTGTGACTGTTGCAGAAAATTATAAATGGAAAGGGAAATAACTAACTCAGTACTGTTAGTCTCTTTCTCTCTATATCTATACCAAGAAATAAAGCATGTTAGATAAAATCAAGGGAGATAAAAATGTAATAGAGAAGCTTCATTATCTTTCTTGCTTGCAAATGAATACACGGGTTCAGAATATATAGGGAACCCTTCCTAAAATACAGCAGAGAGAGAAGTGTGAAAACAGTTGTAAAAAGCAACCAGCAGAGAGAAAATCATGAGAGGTGGCTGGACAGATGTCCACTAAAAGATTCTGAAGATATCCTAAAGATATAACAGAATGCAAAAAGTAAATAAAGGCTAACAAACAAATATTCCCTTTTTGTTGTAATTTTATATACACTAACAGCCCCCCTAAAACTCAAGGTGGAGGTTTGTCACAAAAACTTCAAACTCAACACATAAACTACTTCTATTACATTTGGTATTCATTCATGGTCTTCATGTCTTCTCTTTGGTTCATATTTCTTGTTATCATCAAAACTCTCAGAACTTGATTCACCATCCATGAATCTCAACAAAAAGGAGAAGATGAAGTGTTGAATTTTCACTTCTCGAGATCTTTTGTAGTTTCTTGGTACTGTTGCTGCAGAGGTGTTGTCTTTTCCTAGCTGGTAGGTGTACTTGTTCTGACACACGCTGTTTCAATTTGTGGATAAGCGCTCTTTCATTTTTCTTATCTTCTTTCTTCTATTTTGATGTCTTCATGTGTTCTTCCAGAAGTATGGGTGCTAGATAGTTCGTCTCGTTGTGTCTTCAGACGCAATACAGATTTCTTGACCACCATTTGTGTATTCGAGTCTCCATCTAGTTTGACTGTTGCAAGTACTTGACTCCATCTAGGGTGCTCTTGCTAGGATTTTCCCATCGTCCATGGTCTTGTATCGTCTGAGTCTTCATCTAATGTATTCCCTTTTTTTGCTCAGCCTTTATCCAATGCTTTCCTCACATCTCCTTGATTCTGGTATGGATGTATATTCTTATTCAACAGTTTACCTGTACCTGTATCTGAAATACTAACACACTTGTTACTAATAACAATATGTATTATATTTGTTTCATTCAAAACCTTGCTGGGTATTTCTTTCATCTTCGTCTGACTTAACATTCTCAACCTCTTGAAAAACAAAGCTGAAATAATCGATTATAGTTAGAAATAATCGATTATTTTGAGTTAGTTTTTCAAAATTCGATTTCACACATTCATAACCTTTCCAAGTTACTTATCATCATCATACTCACTCCTAGACAATTTAGAATTAAGATTCAACTCATGCACAAAGCACAAACATGCATAGAAAATAAAATTGACCAACAAAGCAACTCAACACATAAACTACTTCTATTACATTTGGTATTCATTCATGGTCTTCATGTCTTCTCTTTGGTTCATATTTCTTGTTATCATCAAAACTCTCAGAACTTGATTCACCATCCATGAATCTCAACAAAAAGGAGAAGATGAAGTGAAGTTACTGGAGAATCCAAACTTGGAAGCACCTAAGCCAAAGGAGCAAAGGATTGCTCACAAATGGTGTAATTCCTAGAAACTAGGTGAAGAACCCTAGAACTAGGCGTGAGAATATGACTTCAAGTGGGAAAGAATTATGCAAAATACAAAATGCTCTGTATAAAATACTCAAAGTGACTACAATAGAGTGAAGAGAGTTCTATTTATAGGCAAATTTAGAGTGAAATTGGCACCACCTTCCATATGGCCTTAATTGGTGCTAAGAATTTGAAATTCAAATTCTTTGGCAGCCAATTTTCATTTTATGTGCAGCACAATTTCATTTAAGTGGCATTTTGGGTTAATTTAGATGTATTTGGGGCTGATTATGTGCTTCCAACCTTAGGTTAGCACATGTGCACCAAATGCATCTCAAATTACTCTTAAATGTAACTTAAATTTGCTAATTTTGCCTAATTAATCTTTTACTCTCAAATCCTAATATGATGGCCTAAATACAATGGCCAAACTATCCTAAACGCTAGGAAATAATAAAAGAAGCCAAATGAGTCCAATATTGGGTAACAAAATATCCAAGATAAGCCTAATAAGCCTAAGGCTTAAAATTCCTAATTTATGTGGCCCAAAATACAAGACCAAAATGTATGTAACCTCTACTAATATAATATATACAAATAATGTGTAATGAGAATCTTAGAGTATGGCCTATGAGAAGACCAGCTTGGGCCCACCAAGCTCTGAACTAGCCAAGTCTTCATGATTAGCCCATTCCTCTTGGATCCTTCAATGTGTCACCTCTTGTCTTCCTGAAAAATTATGAAATTATTTATTCTTTTAATTATGATAGATATAAAAAGATTTTAATTGCTTTTACGTATTTTGATTATATATTATAGTTTTAATTGATTGACTAGTTTTTGAATAAGGAAATCATAGATTTATAATTCATTATTTGGAAGTAATATGTAACAACCCAATTTTCAATGGGCCGTAGGCCCAATTCGTTGCCCAGAACGGGCTATTTCAAAAGTGAAACGGGCCGTTCTGGAATAAGTTAAAGGCCCAAAATTTGAGAATCAGAACGGGCCGTTCCGG